GGGGGGGGGGGGGGTGGTTGGCTGGCTCTGTGTCGGCAGTTTCGAGGGTGTGTGTTTTGGAGCTTGGAGTTTACTGTTGTTATGCGAGGAAACGACGTCGTGGGGTCAAAACAAATTACATTACATGACGACACGACGTCGTTTGACCCGAAATAAGTTACATTATGTGATGACCCGACGTCGTCAACGTAAAAGTCTTGATATTTACTAGTTTAAAGGTAATGTTCTTTTGACTACGTTGGTTGGTTCTTCTGCACGTGCAATTGGATATGCAGTGAAAATTTGATTGATTCTGTTCGATCCAAACTTTGGGAAGCTGCACGATATAATTACCCTATTAAAAATGTCAACAATGCGAATATAATTTGACTTATTTCAGAATATGTGTAGTGAATTTGAATTAGGTGCAGCAAGTCATGTAAGTATGCTGCCATGGATATGGGGTCAAAAGGACTTCAGTCAATATTTAATCTTACACCAGTGATTAATCTAATTTGGATATTGTCCAAGGATTAAATTCTAGTTTTCAATGAGATCTGATTAATCTAATATGGGGTAAGTTTTTAAGTTTTTTCTGCCAGACAATCTGTCGATACGGGTATGGGCTCGTATCGTTTGTGATTTTAATCAGTCTCACAGCATGTGAATGTGCAGTTTAATAAACTGAATGCTACAGATACGGCCTAGTCACCCTTGTGGTTTTATGACAGAGTGAGAGGAGCATGTATTAAAAAATGGAAACTAAGATAATGTTGTTTTCTTGTGCAGGCCAGAGTCTGAATGTGAGTCTATTGAGCCCATACCTAGACTCTTTGGCAGGGTCCAGGTTCTCAAACGGGGCAAACTTCGCCGTTGTCGGGTCCTCTACCCTCCCAAAACGTGTCCCTTTTTCTTTGAATATTCAAGTCATGCAGTTCATCCACTTCAAGGCTACTGCAGGTATATTTGGAATTTGAATTTCCTTGCTGCTTTGATTGGATATTGAGTTATTTGGCTGATTACACTGCTGAACCTGAATGTGAACATAGATATTGAGTTTGTGAAAATATTCTTGTGTTGTGAAGATGTTGTTCTTCTGAAAACCAGCTGATTGAATGATACTGCTCAATGTATGTTTAGGTTCAAAACATTTGATAAATGATGACAGTTTCCGGAAAGCACTGTACATGATCGATATCGGACAAAATGACCTTGCCGATTCATTCGCTAAAAACCTTTCATACGCTCAAGTAACAAAGAGAATTCCTTCAGTTATTGCAGAAATCAAGAGTGCCGTTAAGGTGAGTTCAGTGTCTGTACAAACGATCATAAAAAGGGCAGGCAGAGTAAAGAAATTATGACAGAAATCCTTAGCTAAATTGATTTGTTATCACTTTATATCAATGCTGAAATTTCTACTGCATCAATTGTAGGCTTTATATGATCAAGGTGGAAGGAACTTTTGGATACACAACACCGGGCCGTTGGGTTGTCTCCCTCAAAAACTTTCATTAGTTGAGAAGAAGGATTTGGATCCATATGGATGTCTTTTGAGTTACAATGCGGCTGCAAGATCGTTCAATGAAGCATTGCTCCATTTGTGCAACGAGATGAGATCTGAATTGAAGGATGCTGTGATAGTTTATGTGGATATATATGCCATCAAGTATGATCTCATTGCCAACTCCACCAAATACGGTAAGCCTAAGCCTACTTATGCTAATGCAAGCGAGTAGCTTGCTGGTTATTAAGTTCAACCTAGTTTAGGGCAGTACAACTAATTTTGAATGTGTTACAATGTAGGTTTCTCTAGGCCGCTAATGGCATGTTGTGGCAACGGAGGTCCTCCGTACAACTACAATGTCGGGCTGACCTGCGGTCATCCTGGCTCCCAGGTTTGTGATGAAGGATCTCTATTTGTGAACTGGGATGGAATTCATTACACCGAAGCCGCCAACACCATCGTGGCCTCAAAGATACTTTCAAAGAATTTTTCCACACCAAGCATTCCATTTGATTTCTTTTGTGGCAGTTAGTAAGGGTTAGAAAATCAGTAGCACTGCATGCCCAAGGCTTGAAATTGTAGTGGTTTACTTCCACTTCTCCTTGTACTGGAATGTCCAAATAGGAAATTACAGTTTTAGGAAGTGTATCATGTTGTTGTAAAACATTCTCTTAAGCCTCAATTTTGTATCCCTTGTTATCATGGACTAGGCTTGTGATTCTTTTGTTAGTGTGTTTGGGCCTTTCAAATAGTAAAACAAGAAACTCTGAAATAACATATTTTTCTCGACGCTCGTCTTAAAAAGAAAAAGAAAAAGAAAAAGTCAAAGTTATTGTTTTCTTTTCACTTCAATTGTGTTTTCATGAAGGGCAAATTTGTCTTTTTGGTATTAAAAATTTAGGGATGGGTCTTTGGATTTGAGCCCAACGGACCCATATTTATTTCCCGGGTATACTAGTGATTTGCCCCTGAACTTGTACTTAACTTTCGATTCACCCCTTATCCTTTTTCTAGAAAATTAAGGATATGAACTTCTTTTTTTCGCCAATTTCCCCCCTACCGTTTAAATCCTCAACATTTCATCCAATTTTCAATTAAATCATTTTTAAAATTTATTTTTTTGGAAAAGAATTGAAGAAAAATAGGAAAATTAACCCCAAAAAATAAAAAATAAAAGAAGAAGAAAAAGATAGTGAACCAAACCTATTGCCACTCCCCTCCCCCAGCAACCCTATCACCAACCCCCCCTCCCCCAGCTATATCTCCTTTAGCAACCCCATCAACCCTAAACCCTAAAACCCTAGTCGAAACCCATCCCCACACGAGATACATTTCAAGCCCCAGCTGAAACCCATCGCCAGTAGAAATTCCAAAAAGGGCCACGTTCTGAACAGATCCACAGAATTTGACCTGAAGTGCACCTGAAAAATTGAAATTAGCAGAACAAAGATTGAGCTTTAGACCTTTGGACAAAAAAGAAAAAGAAAAAGAAAGCACACTTCTTTCAGGTTTCCAGTGACTGGATCATGGTAGCTGGCAGCGAGAAGAGTTGAAGTGTAGTAGGAGATGAAGGAGAACAAGACCATCATAATAGGACCATCAATCTTGTGAAACCCCATATTTTTAAATACATATATTAATATTTCATAGAATTAATTATTTATAATTATTAGTTTTCAAAACTATATAATTGATAATATATATATATATACATAGTTGTATGGCAAGCCACGTGAATCTAGCTATATAGCCTATCAAACCTTATTGTATGGCTTTAACTATATCAATTCATTTAATATTTATTCTATACACACACTTTACAAAAGCTTTTAGAAGGGTGTTTGTTGCTTACTAAGCTTTCTCTTAAAAAGTGACGTGTTGCATTATGGAGTCTTCAAAAAACAATTAAAGCATGAGGTGGTATGTTTTGGCATGAGGTGTAAGAACAATAGATATTCTTATATATATAAACGTAATTGGAAAGTGCTCACTAAGCACTCTCCAGAGCCAGCACCTAAGGTTAATTGGGGTGGCAGTTTACTTTCAAGCCACCCATGTAGTCTAGAAATCCCTAGGATGTAGTCTAGAAATCCCTAGGCTAGTTATGTGGCACAATGTTAAGCTATATCTATATATTTTTTGCCGACTCTAGCTTACTATAAATAGCCTTACCTAATAGTTCTTGAATCATAGGTTCTTCAAAGTTGTGTTAGTTTCCTAAAATTTGTATAAAAAAAAGAGAGAGAGTGAAAACTAAGTGTGGTAAGATTTTGGAAAAGCTCATCTGGGAGTTGTACAATAACTTTGGATTTGAGGTAGGGGTTTCTTGGGGAGGCTTTGCATAAATTGATTTAATTAAATATTGTGAACACTATATTATGCTTGGTAATATTATTCGATTATTATCCTTGATATTGGGTGTTTACATGTTGTCAATTATCATTATAATTTGATTAATATTGACATGTTCATATGTTGTCAATGGTGTTTGGAATTCTTGGGTTGACAAAGAAATTATGGAAAAGAAGGTAATGGGAAGGTTCTTTTGTGTAGTTGAGTCTGACCATTGTAGGGACCAAGTTTAGGTGAGCCCGTGTGCAAGTAGATTAAGAAATCGGTGGTATAATTGTCAATTGGGTGATTTGGGCTTGGAGATCAATGGTATGGACAAGATGACTAGCAAAAGGGGAATTATGGGATAATTGAGATGGGTGTTAGTTTATATAATGGGGCGCATTCGGAATCACAGTGGTAAAATGCATGGTATGGGACATGCAGATTTGCTTGCCCTATTATATAGATTAACGAGTTGGGTAGAATTGAAGATCATTCATGCATTGCATAAATTGTACATTAAAAATCTCACTAATCACATAAGACATAGGACCCCTACTGAGCATGTAATGCTCACCCCTTAATGAATTTATTGTAGGTTTTGAATCTGAAAAGTTTAGTTGTGACAAGGAAACAAGAAGAATGAGTTGCAGATAGTTTTGGATGTTTTGTTAAAAGTCTGTACTTTCCTGTAATTTTGTTTGTAAAATTACAATGTAAATTATTTTGGTTTAAATAGAAGTTTATGTTTAGTTCTCTTGTTTCTTGCTATTTAAATTTTTAGTTTTAGTTTTTCTTTTACCTCACACTCTCAATAATTAGAAAAAAAAAAGGGGATGTGTGAGAGAGAGAGAGAGAGAGAGAGAGAGAGAGAGAGAGAGAATTTTCAGTTTTTATTTTATGACTATTATTTCAATTTTCTATTATTTATTTTATTTTTCATTATTTATTTATTTTTAATGTACAAACGGACTATTTTATCCTCATATTTAACGGCAAATTGAATGAAATGTTGCGGATTTAGATGGCAGGGGGGAAATTGGTGGAAAAAAAAGAGGTTCATATTCTTAATTTTCTATAAATAAAAAAAAAGGATAGAGGGTAAATCAAAAGTGAGGTACAAGTTTAGGGGGTAAATCACTAGTATACCCTTTATTTCCCGCATACTCCACTCTTCTTCCCTCCATTACGGAGATACATAAACTCATCTTTTCTTTGTGTTTATAGTTTCAAACAAAAATGGGCCACCACGATCACGAGCAACTGGCTATGAATAGCAATGTCGTTAAGAGTGAGGCTGAGCAGCGGCCAGGCAAGTCGAATTCAAATTCAGACGCACCCCTGGGCAACCTCCACGTCCCCATTAAGATCGACATGTTTGGTGTCTCTTTATACGACGTAGATCCCGATGAAAATATGATGCCATAAATAAATTTCTACTCTTTTCGTAGGCACTTCCCTAGATCCGACGGGTACGAACGCACCTTCCTTCTTCTCTTGTTCTTGTTCTTATTATTCTTTTTTGTTAAATTCAGTGTGCAAGATGAATATCGGAAGCGGAAGAAATGTCTCCTGAATTTCCCTGTAGAGGTGCGTAGAGTATTTAGTTTTTGCTGCTTTTCTTTGTCTCTAATTTTTTATTTTGACAATGTAATTGGGATGGATGTAGGAACTTGAAGAAATTACAGGATATGAAATTTATATCCACCCAAAGGTTAGTAGTGTTGCTTTATTTTGTTTTCTTTTCCTTTGATGGTTGCTGCATTGCAAATTTGTTTCTTTCCAGTTTGATCTGGTCTTCCAGCTCTAGCTGCAGGCGAATGTAGTGAGAATATATATAAAATTAATGATATGAGTTTAATGTTTGTTTGTTTGTTTGTTTTGGATTGAATGAATAGAATGACCTGGTTGCCGCTATAGGGGGTTCTGTTCAAGCCGCGAAACTAGTGAAGTGTATTGTGTGGGACTGCATTGGAAGTGCCTCCTCGTATCAGTGTTCCATGGTCTTAAAAACTTGAGTTTATAATGAATTTGAATAATAATCTCATCTCATCTCCAAGTTGAGATTCCAGTTATGATGAACTTATGATGGTGGTTTTATCTGGACTCCACCCTCCCAAGGACAAATTAAAGTTTGTTAATTGTAATTAAAATTAGTAGCTACTACTTGGTTCTCTTTTTTGATATTGTCCAATAAGGTCTATTTTAGTTATACACCTTATGTGGATAATTACATAAAATCTGAGATACAAATGAATCACACAAAAGATGAATTTTACAACCAACTGTTATTGCGACTCATATCTTACGCATAACACTCACTAGTAATGAGTGACTCGAGTAATTTATTTTTAAAAATTAAAAAGAAATGTAATTTGGGCTTTATGCCTTTGAATCATCGACCCAACTGTATTCCTTATAGACAGACTCGGTTAAACCAAACACGTGATTAGGTTTAGTTTGCGTCATTAGGTAGTTTGTTAGGAGGGAATAATCTTTTCAGTTATTAAGTTTACGTACACAGACTCGGTTAAAACAAACACATGTTAGTCACTGTTAATTAGGGTTAGTTTGCTTCATTAGTTAGTTTGTTAGGAGGAATTTTTTCAGTTATTGAGTTTGCTTCATTAGTTAGCTTTGTTTATATAAAAGGCCTCATTGTAATGATTTATTTCATAATGAGAAAAGTAGAATTTTCAATCCTCTTTTTTTAGGCTTCTTCTCCACTCTCGAGTCTCAAGTCTCGAGACTTATTGCGTTGCAGAAAAATGGTGTATGTGCAGGGGCTGGGTTGGGCTGATCAATCAGTGGGTCTGATATTAACACTGTCCGGAGCGATACTCTTGATCATTCTCTCATCCTCAGTCGATGGCCAACTTTGTCCAACGAGGCCCGTCCACATCTTCAACTTCGGAGACTCCAACTCGGACACGGGTGGACTCGCCGCCGGACTCGGCTACTCCGTCAATCCCCCCAACGGCCGTACCTTCTTCCGCAGCTCCACTGGTCGCCTCTCCGATGGACGCCTCGTCATAGACCTCCTCTGTAAGTAGACCCCACCCTCGCCCCCTCTCTTTATACTTGTTAGGATCATAGGATTAATTGTCACCCTTGTGGTCTTATGACAGAGTGAGAGGAGCATGCATTAAAAATGGAAACTAAGATAATGTTGTTTTCTTGTGCAGGCCAGAGTCTGAATGTGAGTCTATTGAGCCCATACCTAGACTCTTTGGCAGGCTCCAACTTCTCAAATGGGGCGCTCCACCGGCCGCCTCTCCGATGGACGCCTCGTCATCGACCTCCTCTGTAAGTAGACCCCACCCTCGCCCCTGAGCCCCTCCCTTTATACTTGTTAGGATCATAGGATTAAATTTAGGGCTTGTCCAATATAGATCCCTATAATTTCTATTTCCTAGACATATACCCATCATTCTATAAATCTATGTGTAAAATCC